GAGTGTTAGGATTACAGGCGTGAGCCACCGCGCCCGGCCAACGCTAATTTCTTAAAACCTAAAATAAGATGAAAAATTCAGAACATTATAGATCCTCTGCTGGGATATTAAACAAAATAGCTCAACAAACTGGACAAGCAAAAATAAAGTGCAAAAGACAAAGGATGAAAAAGTATTTGGATTATTAGTTTTATAATCAAAAACTGTATCTGGACTCAATTTCATAAAAAGCACATGAACTAGGACAGCAAGGGACAGTAATGATAGATTTTTGGCATCCTAGGGAAGCAGAGAATGACAGCCCTGAGGAAGAGAGACCTAGCACTGGTCCTTAGAAATGTCATTAGAGCAGATTTCAATGCTACGTTGAGGGAGGCAAGGTAAAACTGCAAGTGCCAATGTACCACATAGGACCAATTACAACATAGACAATGTGACCAAACTATACCCCTCAATTTTTTTCATTTTGAAACACAAGAGTGAGATCTTCATTTCTTACACACCTTGGCCTTGCTGATGAATTGCTAAAGATCTCAGAACAGCCGAACTATTGAGCAATGCGTAGATATAAGACTCCACTTGTAATCTCGAGAGCACAGAAGTGTAAGAATGCAGGGCCAGGGTCTGGTGGAGGTGCTCAGATTTGGCATCAAATAGCTTCTTTAGCTCCCCCAGTGCATTCTCATTCATCTCTACTTGTTGGTAGCGATGATAGCCAGAAACTTTCACTTGATCTGCACAGATACCCTACCAGTAGACAAAAAGGTAAAATATGAAACCAGTTACTCTTTGCATCTGCAGTAATGAGGTAGGAGGTACAAGATATACAGACTTCAGCACTATCTTCAAAGAGCTTGTAATCCTGGTGAGGGGACAATATTGCTGCATAGAGAATATTACCACCAAATATACGATCAGGTGCAATGGAGTATAATGCCAATCACAAACACATCGCAAGTTCAGACAAGGTCAAGAGTAAGAAGTGGTCAGTGGGGAAAGGTGCATGGAAATAACAGATCTTGTCCCTGAGACTCTCATGATTGATGCTCTTACCTTCTATCTCAGGAACACTAAGGCCAATGTGACATCCCCTCCACTTCAGGGTACCTCAAAATATCTCTGGACCTACCCTCATCATTCCTTGTGGTTCTGCTGAAAAGAAAGAAACCCCTCTCCTTTCCAACACTAACTCGCCCAACTGTGTTCTCAATTCTACCCTCTTTTTCAATGCAGTATTTCCAAATGTTCCTTCTCCATAGCCTCTTCCTATCTACAGAGATTACCAGGTCTCCCAACAAATGAAGGTTAAGGATGGAGGAATCACATGCTTTCCCCCAACATCTCCTCCAGCTTCCCTTTACTGCCACACTTGTCAAGAACGGTCTTCTCATCCTTGTTATAACCTCCCAATCCACTATGAAATGGCTTTCTTATGGTCACCTTGGCCTCCACAGGGTCACACTAATGGCCTTACCTGTTTCCTCATCTCCTCTCAACCTTGACACTCTCTACCCATTAGATGTTTGTGGTATTATGTCCAAGGTCACAAACTAATGGCCCATGGGCTGAATTTGACCTGGAGACATGATTTGCTTGGCCTATACTGTGTGTGTATGTGTATGTGCCTGACTTGTTGTCAACATTTACAAATTAGAATCCCTCACATAAAAATCCAGATTTCTAGTTTTTCTCAGAAAAATCACAAGATGTGGCCATGCTGGACCATCACAACCTCACAGCAACAATCACCTAGAACTCAAGAGCGCCGTCTCCTCTAGAGCACGAGTTTACCCAGTGACCACCATCCCACTCAGCCTGCTTCACTCCTCCAGGTCACACACCAGGCCCCTGCAAGACATTTGACTTTGTGACCCCTGCACTGTGCTACTCTTGGCTGAGACGGGGTCAGGGTGGGCATAGGGAGCAGCCTCCAGAGCTGGACAGCACCACCGGAATAGCAGCTCCACTGCAAATTCCCCAGCTCCTGATCAAAATACCTGTACAGACATTTGTTCCTCCTTAAAGTGCCACAGCCGACTTTTAGCATTTTGGCAATCAGACGTCAAAGTGAGCAGCTCAGCTTCGGCCAGCAGTAGTTGCTTCCTACATCGTGAGTAGTTCAAAAGCAATTCATAAAATTCATGCCTGTCCTGATGAGCCATGCTGTCAAATTCTTCCAAATATGACTCAATGTTTTCCAGCCATGAACCAGGCTCCAAGATTTTTAGCTGTTCTTTAGTAAACGGTACCAGTTCTGGTTGAGATGGGAGTTCTGGATAGAGTCGTTCACTACGAAGCAAGGGTTTCACGGCCACCAAAGCTGGTACGTCTCCAGCAATGTCCGCTGGCAACTGGGGATACAGTTTCTTCACTCTAGGTGGCTTTAAAACATGTTTGGCTTCACAAGAACTCTGCAAGCCAACATTTTGTAGCACCTCTGAAGAACAACCCAGGGCTTGTCTGCCTTCTTTCCTATTCTGAATTTCTCTAACTTCTAAGTTTTCCATTTCCTGCTGAGTATATGAAAAACTAGATTGAAGTGGGCTTTCCAAAAGTCCACATTGCACCAATTTATTTTCCTCTACCTCGGTAAAGTTCTTGGGGGTTTCCACTGTAGTTCCAACATCATCTCCAGGGTCAACCTTTGGCTTGACTGTACTGTCCCCCACACAGGTTCCAAGCTCTCCCCCTTCCTTCAGGGACTCTGGGTTACTCAGGGACCCCTCATTGCTTATAGTTAAGGAGGTGAGTGGTACATCAACCATTTCACTTTCATTTTGTCCACTGGCCTCACTTTGGAGCTGGGACTGAGTTAACACCTTCAGATGGTCGCCTTTGAATTCACAGGCTGGAGAAGGGATTTCTTCTTGCTCTCTGGAGGTTTTTGGAAGAAAAATTTCATCAGGCTCTTCCCTCTGCAGGGTTTCATATTTCTTCTTTTCCTAAAAACAAGATTTATAATGTGAAATAACTTGTAACAATAATTGATGCTCTCAGCATGGGGAATTTTTAAGTTGTATATGAAAATCTAAATTTTATCATTTAACAAATAGAACCTAAATTCGCTTCATAAGCAAAATGTTTCATAATTCATATTGTCCAATTTTCTCCAATGGGAGAAAGTATCTATAACACAAATCTCTTCTAAGGGGCTTACATCTAGAATACACAAAGAACTCTTATAACTCAATAATAAAAAGATATACAACTCAATTTTAAAACGGGCAAAGGATCTGAATAGACATTTCTCCAAAGATAAACAAATGACACATCAGAAGATGCTCAACATCATTAGCCGTTAGAAAAATGCCAATGAAAACCACAATGAGATACCATGTCACATCCACTAGGATGACTATTTAAAAAGTCAAATAATAACAAGTACTGGTAATTATGTAGAGAAATTAGAACCTTCATACTCTGCTGGTGGGAATGAATGTAACATGATGCACCTACCAAGAAAAATAGGGTTAAGATGGCTGCACAACCCTTAGATCACACTAAAAACTACTGAATTATGTACTAACAAGGCCAATTGTATAGTATGTGAATTCGACCTCAATAAAGCTGTTAAGAACAAAGATTAAAAGAAGTTAGTAAAATGAGAAATGAATGAAAATACGGAAGTAGAGAGTGGAATGTAGAATAAAAGGAGACTTTTGTTTCTTTTCTTAAGCAGTAAGAGAACTCGGGGAATGTTAAATGCTAACTTCAAGAAAGACCAAAGGCAGGGAGCAGGGAGCAGTCACAGGATGGGCCACATGATCCCAGCCCTGCAAACAACCACACCCCTACACCACCCTCAGGCCACCCCAAGGCTTCTTCCCCAGCCTAACCCTCAGGCAGTTTTTAACTTTCCACTGTCCCTCCCACCACGTCACCCCAATCCCACCTCACTGCTTCCTCTGCCCACTCTAGGATTGCCCTTGCAATTTCAAATACTTCCCATCTACCAGCTACCACCCCTAAACTTGTTAAGTCCACACCCTGCAGCCCTACCTCCCAGGGAATCACCATAACCATAATAACGGCAACAGATAAAGAAGTCAGATAATCAATTAAGAGACTTTTTTTTTTTTAACTCTCCTACCCGCTCTGGAAGAACACAACAGCCTTTTGTTTAGGCCTTTATTTCCCCTGTGGGTGGAACTCACTTCTCTGGGTTTCAAAAGCAGAACTAAAGAAAACTCTCTACCCCTGACTTTGTTAGGGAAGTTAGGTCCAATGAGGAATTAACCTGGAGTTGCCCCAGGGAAGAAGGTAGGGGAAAAAGAAAGAGAAGCTGGTGTTTTAAATCAAAGGGACTAGCTACACCAAAGGAGGCAGGTGGCAAGAAGGGATGGACAATTTTGAGCAGGTAGCACACACCTGGCCCTGCTCCCTCAGAGATTCCCAGGCCAGAGGCGTATGGAAGAAGAGGAGGGGAGTTGCAATCATCACCTCATCATCATCTCAAGAGCAGTGGTGAGGGCTTCCTGTGGCTCATTTCACTTCTCCAAAGCACAGAACAGGGGAACAGGTCCTGAATGGTGTCCAGGCCTCCAGCTTCTGCTCTGCCAATTCATCCCAAACACCATTGTAAGACTGATCTCCCTGAAACACTGCTCTGAACACGAGAGCAGTTTGACTCTCCACTTAATGAAAGGCTAATTCTTTTTTTTTTTTTTTGAGACAGAGTCTCACTGTGTTGCCCGGGGTAGAGTGCCGTGGCATCATCCTAGCTCACAGCAACCTCAAACCCCTGGGCTCAAGAAATCCTCCTGCCTCAGCCTCCCGAGTAGCTGGGACTACAGACATGCGCCACCATGCCCAGCTAATTTTCTCTATATATTGTTAGTTGTCCGATTAATTTCTTTCTATTTTTAGTAGAGACGGGTCTCGCTCTTGCTCAGGCTGGTTTCGAACTCCTGAGCTCAAACCATCCACCCACCTCGGCCTCCCAGAGAGCTAGGATGAAAGGCTAATTCTTAACTCTGGGATTTAGTGGCCCAGACAACTCAGCTACGATCCTGTCCCAATACAAACCTTGCCACAGAGGCTTTCCTGTGAGCCCCTTCCTGCAACAGGTACCTGTTGTGGGCCCTGCTTGTACACTATGTCACATGGTTATTTATCTTTATGTTCTGTCTCCCCAAACAGACCACAAGTATCTTCAGGGCAGGGATTTTATCTTGGGCCTCTTTGGATGTGATATGCCTCTGATTTTTGACACTGTTCAATAACCGTTTCTCTGGATAGCAACGATGACCTATAATTCACAAGAATTTGAGTAATAGCTGTGCACTGAATTCTGTCCTAGGTACAGGTCTTCTAAGATGAAGAAATTACTGAAGTACCCAACAAATATTTATACTTACCATGTGCTCTGATACATTCAGAAGTTTGTTTTTATATGTGTCACAGAAAGCAGAGGGAAAAGCCAATGAATTCAGAAGAAGAAAAACTTTCAGGCTGAAGTCTGAATCTATCCTTGTGCTCAAAATGCAAAATTCCATTTCATTTAAAATAAAAAAGCCAGCTTCCAATTACTTTGTCTACTTCAGTTAAACAGTGAAGAGGAGGACATACTACATATATAATAATCAATTATAGATCACAAAATAAAATTCAAACAACTCTATGTGTATCAAGTCACTTGTGCGAAAATCTGTGCTTACAAAATTTTAAGTAAAAGATATTCCTTACAACTAAAACTGGCCAGACAGATTAAGAAGAATCTATTTCTTTATTTTTGATCTTTGCATCAGTTATATACAGGTAAAGAATCAATTTTGAAATCATTCAACAGGAAAAAAAAAAAATAACCAGTAAATTATATAGAAATGAAAGAGTTGATGATAAAGACAGAAAACCATACTTAACCATACATTACGGTAAATATGCTCTGGAGTGTTGGTATATGGGAAAACAACTAAAGAAGAACATAACAAACTATTACCAACAGTAATCTCCAGGAGATGAAATTCTGGGCATTTCATTCCTGGGCTGTACCTTTTTCTGTGTGTGTGTATATATGTGTGGGTACACTCATATAAACATTTATTTTAAGCAATGAGGAAAAAAGTAACCAGAAAGTAAGTAATCATTAAAAAAAAATAAAATGTAGGTTTTTCTTTTTTGAGACAGGGTCTCACTATGTTGCTCGGGCTGGACTCGAACTCCTGAGCTCAAGTGATCCCCCCACCTCAGCCTCTCAGGGAGCTGAGACTACAGGCACATGCCACCATGCCCAATTACAAATAAAATTGCTTTTTTTTTTTTCAGTTTTGGAAAACAAATGGAAAGTTTCTCTTTATCACTTACAGTTCTTTCTCTATGAACTATATTAAATAAAATTAGAACCCTTAACTTCCTTAAAAATGATGAAATACTTCATGAATGATGATGGTTTGATTGTACACATTTCATAGGGTACTTATCATTAGATTATTTTAAAGGCAGGGTCTGTTTATCACGCATGTCTGTGTCCTCAGCACTTAGCACAATGCCTAGCACAGAACAGATAAAAAAGAAGCTGGGTACACAGGTACAACTATCAGATCAAAAGCTCTCAGGGCGATTATACCAGCTCTCCCTGGGCTATACAAGAATGCTACACAAGTGGAAAGGCTTAGGGGGAAGGATGGGGATTATACATTTTGCTATGAATGTAACTTCTCCGACTCACCACTTCTTCGGTGTTGTTCTTAACAATCTGACTTCACGTATCAGCAGTATTTTGCAGGCTTGACCTCTCCCTCCTCCTTCCTGCACTCTCAGTGAAGGGCACTGGGAATGCATCCTATTTTGCAGGTGGCACTTGCTCACTCTCCTTTGCTGGTTCTGCCTCTCCTTCCCAACCTCTTAAAGTGGGAGGGTCTCCGGGTTCAGTTCTTGTCACTTTTTTAAACTACAGTACCATCATTCCCACAGTGACCTAATTCAGTTTCTGGCTTTAAATACCATCTATATGTTAATGATTCCTAAATCTTTATCTCCAGCCTCTAGCTGTCTCCCAAAATCTAAATTCACATATCCAACCCTACTCTACGTGTCCAATCAAATGTCTAATAGACATTAATTTCGAAATTAACATATCCAAAACTGAACTCATTTTCCCCCAAAAAACTGTTCCATCCACCGCCCTCTCCATCTCAGAGTCTTCCTTGACTGTTTTCTCTCATACTCCACATCCAAACATCAGCAAATCCCCTTGGCTCCTAGATTTCAAACACATCTCACCACCTTGCCTCTAACACTCCTGGTCTAAGCCTCCATCTCCTCTTGCCTGGATTATTGCAATTGTCTTAGATGTTCTCTGCTAATCCTCATGCTCCCTCAGTCTGTTCTCAACAAAGCAAGCACACTGATTCTTTAAAGCTGCGGTCCCCAACCCCTGGGCCATGGACTGGTATCAGTCTGTGGCCTGCTAGAAACCTGGCCACACAATGGGAGGTAAGCAGCCGTGGGCCACTGAACAAAGCTTCCTCTGTATTTACAGCGGCTCCCTATCGAAGATCAGCAGCAGCATTAGATTCTCACAGGAGTGCGAACCCTACTATAAACCACAAACCCTACTGTAAACTGTGCATGCGAGGGATCTAGGCTGCACATTCCTTATGAGAATCTAACGCCTGAGGTGGAGCTGAGGCAGTGATGCTAGCGCTGGGGAGCAGCTGCAAATACAGATTACCATTAACAAAGAGGTTTGCACAATAAATGTAATGCACTTGAATCACCCCCAAACCATCCTCCTTGCCTCCCCCAATCCATGGAAAAATTGTCTTCCATGAAACAGGTCCCTGGTGCCAAAGACGTTGGGGCTGGTGCTTTAAAGCACAAGTTGGATCAAGTCACTCCTCAGCTCAAAAGCCTGAGGTGATTTCATATGTCACTCAAGAGTGAAAGCTAAATTCCTTACAAGGACCTACACAGCCTCACATGACCTGGTCCTCTCACCTTT